GTCCAACTCATGCCATTAGTGGGCATTTTCAGTATCAACACAGCAATTGGTGGTCCTCTCTCCTTCTTCCTCCAAGCCATGTGTATTTCTCCAGTGTACCGCTGAGGTGTGGGTCAGGACACTGGAAGGCAAGTTCTAATTTTGGCTTAATTATATCAACGTGTCCACCAGGATGGCTGTAGCATTTAGTGGTCCCACCAGAAAAGCAGAAGATGATTCTGATTCATGCACACTCTGGCCAACTTCAAGCATGCTTGCCAAAGAGCAGCCTTTTCCACTGCCAAGAGGTCACAGGGTGAGGGGTGAAGAGAGGGACGGGCCACCTTGGCAGGGGACTGTGTGGGCACACTGGGTGGATAATGAACCTCGGCTGTGCAGTCTTCAGGGAGAAGGTAAGAGCTCAAGATCCCTGACCGTAGATTGGTGTCTCTGAGATCCTGCCTTCTGCCTGGCTGCTGCACTGTGGAAAGGCTAGGAGGTGAGTCCCCACCTCTGTCCCCTTTGAGACAAGCACAGCATTTGGTCATTCAGGGAGCCAGGGTGGCTCCTGTCAGGAGGTGGGAGATGGGGACGTCCTTACTCTGCTTTGCTGTGCTTTGCAACTGGTGAGACTCCCTGAGCTTGCCTTTCTTGTCTCACACATCATCTGAGGACAAACCTGCAGAAGAGGACAGAGCCAGAGGCATGGAGGAGGTGGGGAAGGGGGAAATCTGGGGTACCCACCCTCTCTGGGGTTCACACTTTCTGATCCAGAAATCAAAAGCATGACTTATCTCCAAGAAAATTTTATACTCCACAACTACAAACGTCCCCATTATTTCTTCTTTTTCTCCTTCCTTCCTCCACTTTTCTTCTTTTCTCACTTGTCTCCTTCCTCCCTCCCTCCCTCCCTTCCTTTCCTCCCTCTCTCCTGCCCTTGTCTTCCTTCCTTCCTTTAATCCTTCTCATTCTCTTAACTCTTTCACCACAATTCACTCAAAAGGGTAAGAAAACCTCAAAAATTGTCTGCAAAGATGTTGATTGTATCACTCTTTATTATACCAAGATTGTGACTACACCTTGATCATGGAAGAGAAATGGTAAAGATAGCACTCTTGAAATGCTCGGTATATGCTAGCACTGTGCAAAAATTTAAGGAACTGAACCAGTTCATTCTCGCAGCAACCCTATAAGAGAAATACTTCTTGTCTCTCTGGCTAGCAAAGAAACTAAGGCTTTGTCATATAACAGAATTGGTTAAATATTATTTGCCATCATAATATGATGGAATATTGCACAGCATTAAATCATTGTTGTGAGCATTTTTATTAACATGGAAAACTATCCCATGGCTGAAAATGTACAAAAATGCAAAATGTGATTAAAAACAATTACAATTTCATTTTAAAGATGAAATTCATATTGCTATACCTGATTGGAGGAAAATGGATCAATACACTCATAGGACTGACCTCTGAGTGATGGAATTTAGGTAAGTTTTTATGAACTTCATTTTTTCTAATTCACAAGTGTTACATGAAATTATAGTATCTTAGTTAAGGTCTTTCATTTTTGCTATACTGTCTAAAATAAAGAGACATAGAGAGAGATCTTCCATCCACTAGTTCACTCCCCAGATGGCCACAATGGCCAGAGCTGAGCCAGACTGAAGGCAGGAGCCAGGAGCTTCATCCTGCTCTCCTATGTAGGTGGCAGGGGCCCAAACACTGGGTCATCTTCTGCTGCCTTTCCCAGGCTATTAGCAGGGATCTGGATCCAAAATAGAGCAGCTGGGACACAAACTGGTGCCCATATAAGATGCAGGCATAGTTGGAAGTGTCTTTACCTGGTACACCACAATGCTGGCCCTTAAACAAGCCAAGTTTTATGGTAAAACTAATGTCCAGTTTAGCCATATCCTGCATGTCTCTTTTTTGCTGCTACTTAATGTTGAGTCTCCCATCCTGACTTTCCATTGAGTTCTGGGGATCACACACAGCACCTCAGATTCTCATAACCCTGAGGGCCAGGTCTCTGTTTTCAGTTTCACTGAAGTGTAATTGGAAAATAAAAAGTACCTATATTTAAAGTGTACGATGTGACCTTTTGAGATATGTATCCATCATGAAATGATTACTGTGATCAAATGGACTAGCATACCCATCATCTCACACAGTTACATTTTTGGGCATACTTTCAATCTACTCTCTTAGCAAATTTCAAGTAGACAATGTAGTTTTACCGGTTACAGTCTCTATGCAGCACATTGGGCCAGATCTTAGGTTAAAGGATGTCCCACTGTTTTCCTAAAGGGTTGGTTGTTCAGAGAAGCAAAGATCTTTATCTATTCAGTCAGATGGCCCGGAAAGGGTGCATCTCAGATTTGAACCAAGATCTTTCTGAGCTTTTCCCACAAGGCCATGGTTCAAATGGAGTGGAGGAGAGGAGTCCTTCTGTGGGGGCACAGCCATTCTCACTTGGTAAGTGAAGATGCGGGCACTCCATGGATGGCTTCTTCCACCAAGACCAAGGAGGTGAGACAAGGGGATGGGCTTGGAGTAGATAAGATAGAGATATAGAAGGAGACTAACCTTAATTTACAAACTACTCATTGAATGTCTACTATGTGTAGAGGCAGAATAGTTCAGGACCTATCCTGGGGCTGGACTTCCTGGGTTCAGATCTGTGCTTTGCCACTTATGGGCAAATTTACTTAGCTTCTCTGTGTCTTGGTTTCCCCATCTGGGGCATGAAGAGGGTGACAATGGCACACCATGCAGTTACAGTGAGTGTTAACCATTATCAGGCCCCTCACCACTCACAGAGGGGGAAATGAAGTCAAATCATCACTGTTTCTCTGGGCAAGCACATCCAGTATGTGGCTGAAAATTCTCTCTATGGTGAAGATATTTAAAGCAACATTCTCACACTGAGGCTTGCTGCTGAGCCCCAGACCTGTGAAACAACTGTATGCACTACAGTCCAGTTGGGAAGCTTCCCAAAACTCAAGTACTGACATTCAAAGCTCAGTCCTTCTTTCTCCTAACCCTAGAACCAAGCTTGATCATCCATGAGTCTCCGTATCTCAGTCGATAGCATCATCCCATTGCTCGTTGCTCTGGTCAGTCTCCTAGGAGTCACCTTCCATTCCTCTCTCTTCTTCAGGCTCAGATCCAATCAACCAGCAACAGCTACTGAGTCAGACTCCAGAATTAATTTTGAGAGTGCCCCCATCTCTTCTGTAAACATGGAGCATTATAGTCCCAGCCCTAACACCACGCACATTCAGGCTACTAAGGCATCCTCCTGACCTCCTTCCCTGGTATCTCTCACACCCAGACAAGCCTTGGTAGAGAATCCTGGACACCTAGCACAGTGCTCAAACAAGGTTGGTTGAATAAGTCAAATCAGAGAGATGCTCTGAATTCTTGAGGTATATATGGACCCCTGGAGAGGTGGTGGGGTGGGGTCCCTTGCTGGTTTAGGAACCCAAATCCGACCCTGAGGCAGAGTCTCAGTGAGGGAGGTAGGCTCTCATAAAATGACAGTCACTTCGACGTTTTCACAATGCGTCCAGTCCTCTCACTCTAGTGATGAATGGGTTGGAGCTGGCAAGAGTAGAACCAGGAGTTAGTTGTGAGCCTGTGGTATCCTTTATGTGAAGGCTGACTGTGACCTAGAACAGAGGGGTTGCCATGGAGATGGCACACCGGAGGCGCTCTTAAAGGTGACTAGAGGGTTTTCTCAGACTGTTTGAGAGGCTGGTGGACAGAACAGCTGTGTGTGACTCTGACCCGTTGTTTAGCTGCTGTGTGACTTCCAAAGTTATTTCAGAGTTCCAGTTTCCTCTCCACTTTGAGCAAGATGCCTATATTCTCTGTGTTCATTTTTTTTTTTAATCCACAGCCCTGAAATGTTGTGTCTTTCACTATGGAGGCCCCTTACAACTGAGGAAGGTTTACTTAGGAGAAACAATCTGTTTGCTGGCCTTCCAGGGCAGCCACCAGGGCTCAATCTCTCTTTCTCCAGCTCCAGCATCAGGCTGTCCCCAGTGGGCTGTGTGGTCAGATGTGTGTGCTGAGACTGGCTTAATTTAAGGGCCACGTGCAGAAAAACCGGACCAGCAAGAGCAGCCAGCATGAGGCCGGAACGAGCAGTGAGGGAGGACTTTGAAAAAAATACAAGAGGTAGCAGTCAGAATTGAGAACAGTCCCCTTCCTTAGTCATTCAACAAACACTTTTGGGCTGCTATGTGTGCCAAACCCTGGCATAAAAACAAGACAAGGAACCACCAAGTAAGACTGGGTACTCAGTAAGGATGCAATTTGCGGGCCAGGCACTGATAAAATCATAAGCCACATATGCGATAATTGTTCATGCATGAGCTGGACAAGTGACAAGAGGTTAGAATTCTATTATAGAAAACCCACCCAAACCCTCCTGAGGTTAGGGAACAGGTCTGGGCTTCCTCTTTACTCCCCAATCCCAGCTCAGTGCTTGCTACAGGGAACACTTCCTGGCTAGAATGAACGAATGAATGAATGAATGAATGTGGGGGTGGGGTGTGTGCCCAAAGAGAACCTGAGTGCTGTGGCAACTTTGAGCTTCAGCATATATGTCACAGAGGTATGGAAAGAACAGGGAGAAGGTTTTGGATTCATTCAACAAACACTGAAGCCTTTGGCCATGTTTACCAATGCTTAACCATGTAGCTGCCCCAGTGCTTACAGCTTCCATGTGTCAGCTCCTTTCTTCTCCACAAGAAAACACTAGGAGACAAATTATTGCACTTAATGGAGATTAATTTCTAGCTACTGCATAAAAAGCAGTGTATTCCATGAGGTTCCTAGTTTGTAGAAGGAAATAGACTTTATTGCACAAAAATGAAATTCAGCCCAGTTTTCGGTGCATGGCAGCTGCAGCCACATAATGCAGACGGCAGGAGGGCGTGGCCGGCGATGCAGTTCTGGCCTCCTGCACAGGGGATGCTGAGAAGGGGATATTCGAATGGAGACCTGGAGGCCGAGAAAGCGCAGACAATGCCAAAGACAGGGACCATAACTGGACACATGCAAAGGCCCCGGGGTGACAGGAAATGTAGGGGTTATGGACACCGAGGCTGTCTCTGAGGCTGGGCCCTGGGAGGTGGGGACGGCGACATAGCCAAGAACCAGGGCACAGAGATCCTCGCACAGGGAGACACAGGGAATAGCGGGTCGTGGGGGGAGGGACCAGCACGTGCCAAGCCCCAGGGTGGGACAAACCCTGGTGCATGGATCAGAGAAACAGGCAGCAGCCAGGCCAGCAGATGTGGTCATTGGACTTGGTCCCACGTCTCCAGGCCGTCCAGGGGAGCCCTACCCGGGCCACCATTAGATCTGCCATTGCATACGACCCCTCCCAGGCTCGCGCCATGGAGACAAGGCCAGGCACGCGCAATTCCCCGGCTCACCGGCCTCTCCCTCCCCACCTTCCCGCAGGCTTCCTTCCTTCCGCGGCCAGACGAGGCCCCCACGCGCCCAGGGCCCCATGCCCGAGTCCTGGGCCAACGGGAGCCTGGCCGGCGACTTCGTGCTGCTGGGCTTCGCGCACGTGCCCGCGCTGCGGCCGCTGCTCGCGCCCCTCTTCCTGGCCATGTTCCTGCTCACGCTGCTGGGCAACGCGCTCATCGCGGCGCTCACCGGCCTGGACCCCGGGCTGCGGGCGCCCATGTACTTCTTCCTGCGCCAGCTGGCGCTGCTGGAGATCTGCTTCTCGCTGGACGTGGCGCCCCGCCTGCTGCTGACGCTGCTGCGGCCTGGGCGCGGCGTGGCCCCCGCGGCCTGCGCCCTGCAGCTGCTGCTGGTGCTGTCGTGCGTCACGTCCGAGTGCTTCCTCCTGACCGCCATGGCCTGGGACCGCTACGTGGCCATCTGCAGGCCCCTGCGCTATGGCGCCATCATGAGCCCGCGGCTGTGCCACCTGCTGGCCGCCGCCTGCTGGCTGGCGGGGGTCCCCGTGGCGCTGGTCTTCACCGTCTGGCTCTTCAGCTTCCCGTTCTGTGGGCCGAGGGGCATCCGCCACTTCTTCTGTGACATCGCCCCCCTGCTGAGCCTAGTGTGCGCAGACACCAGGGTCTTCGAGGCCAATGTGTTGGCAGCCACAGTTTTGGTCATCATGGTGCCCTTCTGTCTGATAGCCACGTCCTACGTCCTGATTCTGGCTACCGTCCTACAGATGCCCTCGGCCACTGGGCGCCACAAGGCCCTGTCCACCTGTGCCTCCCACCTCATCGTGGTGGTTCTGTTTTACGGCACCACAGGGGTCATCCACTTGCGTCCCAAGGCCAGCTACTCCCCAGAGAGCAAGCAGGTGGTGTCGTTGTCCTACACCCTGGTGACGCCCATGCTCAACCCCCTCATCTACAGCCTGCGGAACAAGGAGGTAAAGGCAGCACTAGGGCGTGTGTGTTGTGGGCGCCAGTGGTTTGGATCCCGTAAATGAGTCCTTTGGATGACTCCTCAGAGTCAGGAGTTGTTGATGTCCCGGGACCCACGTGCAAGTACCTGGTGCAGCTAGCTCTCTGTCTTCTAGGGAACCATAACTGTTCTTCTTGCAACCTCCAAAGTCATGGTGGTGCTGATTCTACCTTTAATCAGGAAAAGAGCATGACCAAGGAGTTGGTCTTCAATCATAATTATTTAGTAGGAGTGGACAAATGAATGAACTTTGGGCCAACTACAGTGTATCAGTGAGCTCTTGCCATAAGAATGCTGTGTAACAGAACATCTTAAATGTTAGTGTCTTAGAGCATGTCACTTATTTTCATGAATGTTCAGTTAGTTGAGTGTCAGTGAATCTAAGCTGGACTCATCTTCTCTTTGATAGGCTTGCTTGCGCAAAACAGGGTTAACTGATGTAGGCTTGATTCTGTTGAAGAGCCTGGTCCACGAGTCTCTCATGTTCCTGGGACCAGAGGCATAGCTCAGGCGTGTTTGTTCTTTTTGCACTAGCTGAAGGATAAGTAAGGAGGCCCTCTTTCACAAGAGATTTTCAATGCTTTGGACATGCCACACCCAGTGACATGCCACTGGCCAATGCAAATTACACAGGCAGGTGTAATGGCAAAGGATAGGGAGTGGTCTCTGTCTCTTTGTGGGAAACTGTAAAGTTACATGACAAAAAACACTGAGAGAGGGGAAAGTGCGTATTTTGGGACATCAACAGAATTTTCTTTGGAAATCCAGATCCCATGAATTTTTTCACATTTCTCTTTGTCCATGGGCTTGTGGCTGTGATGGTGTAAACACATAGCTGTCAGTGCCTGAAGTCTGATCTAACCATGGAAATGCCTCTTATATGAATGAATAAATTCACTTTTGCTTAAACCGTTTTGAGTTGGATTTTCTATCACTTGTAGATTGATTTTCTGATTTAATGGACATTACCTAGCCTGGTACAGGAGTTAATTTATTTCTTCTCTGTAGCCCATTAAGTTTTTTCTGAATGTAATATATCAAAGGAGACGTTTGTTCTCGCCAACTTATCATCTGCCGTTGAAGGATATGATTTTTCTGGAAGACGGACAGTTTTCAGTTGTCATTTTATTTTTCTGGGTGCACAAGCTTGGACTTGCCAGCGTCTCTGAACATTAGTTTTCCCATTGGTGAAGAAGGAATAGTAAGCCTACCTACTGCGTAGGATTTTTTTAGAAAATTTTATTTAATGAATAAAATCTTTTTATTTTGGATTATAGCAGTTTTCCTCCCATAACCACCATCCCACCTTCAAACCATCTCATCTCCTACTCCCTCTCCCATCCCATTCTTCATTAAGATACATTTTTAATTATCTTTATATACAGAAGATCAACTTAGTATATACTAAGTAAAGATTTCAACAGATTGCAGCCACATAGACACACAAAGTATAAAGTACTGTTTGAAGACTATTTTTACTGTTAATTCTCATTGTACAACACATTAATGACAGAGATCTTACATGGGGAGTAAGTGCACAGTGACTCCTGTTGTTGATTGAACAATTGACACTCTTATTTATGACATAAATAATCACTGCATAAGATTTTTAACATTAAATGAGGAGATATGTGGAAATGCCTAGCACAACTGTTGGAATACAGTGGGCACTCAGTGAATGGTCTCCATTCATTATTTTCATAGCTAGCCCCATAGACTGGAAAATACCAAAACTCCATCTCCATAAGGGAGCACCCCAGCAGCATTCCATATGAAGCTAGATTTGAAATGGAAGATTGGAGTTCAGTCTGGAAACACACCCTTGATGTGTGATATTAGACAAAAAACTTCCCCTCTGAGTCTCAACTTCACCCTCTGTAAACAGGAAGGCATGTGCTGAAGTCTCTGTTATTCTTGTAATCCAGAATTATTTTGTGGAAGTCTAAGGAGATGATGAGTATAAAAATCCAGATGTAATGGATGATGGTGGTGGTGGTGGTGATGGTGGAGGTGATGCTGGTGGTGATGATTAAGAACAGGATCCACTGGCTTATTGTACTGCTGTCCTAAAACCAGTGCCATATGTATGTCCTTATTTTAACTCAACGTGTGTACCAATCAAAGACTATTTTAACTGATAGTCCTGATCACGTAATTTTCAACACTAAAACCCTTTGATTTACTGTACAACACAGTAATTGTCATCATCATCACCATCACCATCACTATCATTATCAACACTGTTGTTACAAATGCATAGCACTTACTCTGTCATGGCACAATTATACAAGCACAATTTCAAATTTCTGCAACTAAATTCATAACATGTCTTCATGTGACACTCGATTTCTCCTATTTAGAATTCATGAGAATCATTTTTCTGCCCTCACAATCAACTCATTTCTTTGAATAAAGCAGAATGACTTTTTATTTTTTTAAGTCGAGTCATTTCTGCCAAAAATTCTACCTTTCTAACAGTTAGTTCCCAAATTCCACATCCAAGCAACAAATGTGTATTGAACACCTGCCATGTATCAGGCACTTCTCTAGGCTCTTTGAGACAGTAGAGTGAGTGAACATAGTCTGTGGTCCATGAACTCTCAGGGGTTTGATTGGCAGGGTTCTCCAGAGAAAAAGAACCAATAGAATGAATAAATGGAATTATTAGTTTGACTTACACCACCGCAGAGGCTAGAAGGTTCCAGAATGACAGATCTGTAAAGCCAGGGAAGGAAGAGGGTCAGTCCATGAAGTTACAAGGCTCGGACGGAGAGAAGCCAGTGATTCAGGCCTTAGTCTGAGGTCAAAGACTCAGCACCCCTCCAGGGGCCCACTGGTTCAAGTCTGAGAGTCAAATGGCCTCTGATATCCAAGGGAAGTAGTAGGAGAAGATGTGCTTGCTCTGTAAGAAAGAGCCACGGAGAGAGTTTTCCCCTTGATCCACTTTCCTGTCCCATTCAGGCCTCCAGCTGATTGGTTGGTGTTGTCCATATTGTGGATGATTTTCCCCACGTGATTTGCTGATTCACCTGCCAGTCTTCTCAAGAAACACTTTCAGGTGCACCAAGAAACAATGCTTTATCAGTTCTCTAAGCATCCACCAAACCACTCAAGTACACGAACAGGATGAAATCCAAATGGCCAACAGACACATGAAAAAATGCTCAGGATCATTAGCCATCAGGGAAATGCAAATCAAAACCAAATGAGGTTTCACCTCACCCCAGTTAGAATGGCTATCATCCAAAAATCAAAAAACAGTAAATGCTGGTGAGGATGTGGGGGAAAAGGTACCCTAATCCACTGTTGGTGGAAATGTAAACTAATAGAGCCATTATGGAACTAAGTATGGAGATTTCTCAGAGATATGAAAATAGATCTACCATATAACCCAGCCATCCCACTCCTGGGAATTTACTCAAATGAAATGAGATCATAAAATGAAAGAGTTATTTGTACCCACATGTTTATTGCAGCTCAATTCACAATAGGTAAGAAATGGAATCAACCCAGTTATCCATCAACTGATGACTGGATGAAGAAAATGTGGTATGTACACACTATGTAATACTATTCAGCCATAAAAAAGAATGAAGTCCTATATTTTGCAACAAAACAGAGAAAACTGGAAACCATTATGCTTAGTGAAACAAGCCAGTCTCAAAAATACAAATATCATATGTTTTCTCTGATATGTGGTGGTTAATACAGAATGCCAAAAAATGTATAGGAGTGACATGGTCATTTTAGGATATGGTTGTCATTTTTAGCCCTTGTTTATACTCCTGTGAAACTGTTGTCTTTCTACTTTTTACTTGTTGAATATTACTATTAGTGGCAAATTAAGCCTTTGAAAATGGAGTGGATTAAAATTATGAGTTTGCAAAAACTGATGAAGAGAGGGGAGGAGTATGGGAGATTGAGGGCTGCAGGGGAGGGAGGGAGGTGGGGTTGCTTTCTTGGAACTGTACCTATGGAATGTATACAGTCTGTTCTCTATGTTCATGAAAAAGTGTCAACACACTTGTTTCTAAGTCCTGTGTAAGAAAAACTGGACGTATTAACTTGGGTTTCATGATGTTTTTCTTTCAACGAGAGAGAGAGAGAGACAGAAAGAGAGAGAGAGAGAGAGAGAGAGAGAGAGAGAGAGGACTCTGATTTGGTGTTGTCTTCTACACCTCAACTGCACATTTGCGGAATGGGAGGATAATTCGAGGGAACCACGGATGCTGCTATGCAAGTCTTGAAGGCCATGGGAAGGCACTTTGATTTCATCTACGAGGCAGCAAAGAATTTTAAAATATTATTTGAATGTAGTACAGTCATATTTCTGTATGGCCCATTTCTTGAGTTTTTGTTGTGAAAACAGTCTGAAGTGAATTTCAGGAGATCAGACCAAATGCCCCTTCTTCTAGGCAGCAGTTATATTATATATAATTATGTCATTATATATTATATTACATATTTTATAAAGTAATTAAATGTGGATAAGGTAAAACACAAACACAATATTTACCATAGTAACAGTCTTTAAGTGAATTAAATTCATTTTCACTTGGTTTTTCAACCACCACCACCATCTATTTCCAGAGCAGTTGTCATCTTGTAGAAATTGAGCTCTGTGCCCAGTCACCAGTGAATCTCATTCCCTGAGGCAGCCATTGGCAACCTCCATGATGCTTTCTCTGTGTGCATTTGATTACTCTCAGTATTTCACACGAGTGGGCTGATATATTATTTATCTTTTGTGACTGACTTATTTCACTTAGCATAACATCTTCAAGGTTCACCTGTAGTATAGCACATGTCAGGATTTTCTTTTGAAGGCTGAGTAATATTCCATTGTGTAATATTCCATCTTTGGAGTATCGTAAATAGTGCTGCTTTGAATAAGAGTGTGCAAATGTACCTTCAACAAACAGTGTTTTTGAGACTCTAGTCTACAAGAAGCTCTTCTGCCCCTGTGGGCCTCGGCCCCAATGATGCTTCTCGGAACAACCTATTAACTTGTGTGTCTGAGTCAGGGTGTTCTGTTACACGAGGGGTTGATCGACTGAAGGATGGAATTCTTTCCTACTCATCTTTGTGCTCGAGACTCCAAGAACAAACAAGGCCTGAAATTTGGAAAGAAATCAGTCAATTCATGTTGCCCCAAAGGAGGACGGTTCAGAAGCTGACTTCGCTGTCTCTCCTCCCCGCCAGCTTCTACAGGGCATTGCCGAAAAGTATTTCATCGCCCTCCTCCAAATCCTCAGAGACCAAGGCGGTCCCCGAGGTCTAGAACTCTGGTGTAACTTGGCCGTCTGCCTCTGCAAGTGTGGATGGCAACACAGAGGGGTGGGGAGAGCCTGTTTCAGGATTAAGTACAGCTCCTTGCAAGATTGGACTAAAAGGCTGCTCTACTCCTGGAATAAACCCCTCTGGGCAGAATCCGAATCCACTTGAGCTTCTGAATCTCCTCCAGGTGCGACACCAGCCAGAAAGAATCTGTTGCACAATCAGGTGAGGAGCAAATGCTGTTCTTTGGAGGTGAAGAGGAGGACCAACAGAAAGGACCTTTCTTTTATAGAACACACCAGGCATACCAGGTACTGATGCTCAGTATTTGGATATATGAAAACTTGGGAGTAGTGTGTGTGTGTGTGTGTGTCTATTAGATCCAGCTCTCTGCTATGGCCTGGGAAAGCAGTACAAGATGGCCCAAGTGCTTGGATCCCTGCACCCACATGAGAGAGTAAGAAGAAGTTCTAGGCTCAGCTTCTGGCTTCAGATCAGCCCAACTCCAGCCATTGCAGCTAGTTGGGGAGTGAGCCAGCGGATGGAAGACCATCTTCTATTGCTTTCCCAGGCCATAGCAGAGAGCTGGATTGGAAGTGGAGCAGCTGAGACTCAAACCAGTGCCCATATGGGATGCTGGTCCTGCAGGCGGGGGCTTTATCCCCTGCGTCACAGCGGTGGCCCCTGATCAACTATTTTTAAACTTCCACATATGAAAGAGACTATGCAGTATTTCTCTTTCTATGTCTGGCTTATTTCACTTAACATAATGATCATTACTTCCATCTGTTTTGCCGCAAATGTTAGGATTTTGTTCTTTGTGTGGCAGAATAATATTCCATTGTGTAAGTAAATCACACTTTCTTTACCCATGCATCCATCAGTGGACACCCAGGCGAATTCTGTATCTCAGCTCTAGTGAACAGTGCTGCAGTGAATGGTATGAGTGCGGGTGTCTCTTTTATATATGATTGATTTCAATTCCTCTGACAGTGTATCCAGGTAGCTTGATAATGTGGTAACTCTGTTCTCCAGAATGACTGTACTAATTTGCATTGTGTTTTACCTTTTCTGTGAGAAATCCTTAATTGGGAAACAGATAGATCCACTCCTCCAGGGCTCACAATGGTCTAAACTTCTATAGTCACTCACTATATGGATACATTCTTAAATTTTACTCTCAATAAGCCTACGAGAACAATGAAAATATCTCATTGTGCTGATTTGGAAACGGAGGTTCAGAAAGACGAGGGAGCAGCCCAAGGCTTCATTACTGGGCTTTGGTCTAGCGTCTGCCTCTTAGAGAAAGGCGATTGCACTCACAGCTAGGAAAGATTCACCACAGTGCAAGTTCTACTTACAGCTGTGAAAACTTGCTTTGGTATGTTCACATCAGCTCCCCTGCCTGTTGAATCAGTGACTATGAGTGAACTGAATTTTGAGCCAAAGATTCATATGCTTTTCATGATCCATAGCTTTGTTTTAACCTTAAGATTAAACTTTCCCTAATATCTCCAAATCTGACTTCTCAGAAAACTCTGATTTCCTGAATAAAATAACAACTAACTCTTGCTTGCATGCAGATCCTGGGCTTCCTGCTTACAACCATAAGAGAATTTGTCCCAAAACACCTTTCATCCTTAACACGCTTGTGCAGAGTAGGCATATTCTTATGTTGCATGTTGCACAAATCTCTTTCTCATTATTTATGCATACCAATATTTAAGTTCCTGAAGGGTAAACTCTACTAGAACTGAAGATTTAAAAGCCACTGGGGCACTAGGGAGTGAATATGCATGAGGCTTTAATTCCATGAGAGCCCATTTTGTATCCCGGTTCTGATAGTCGTTACTTTGCATATTGAAGCAAAATACTTACTTCTCTGAGCTTGGTTCTTTACTTACTGCAAAAGAGGAATAGCGATAGCTTCTTAATAGAGGTTTTGTGGGGTTTTAGAAAGCTAAAGTTTGGAAAACACAAAGGAGTTTAGTCCATGGTGTAGCATTATAACCATGGCTGCTGAAATCTTTAGAGAGGAAGCAACTGTGCACAGTGATTCAAGTTTGTCTAAATCTTGCTCCCATTTCCACTTTTGGCTGTATGGCCTTGGGCAAGACACTTTCACTTTCTGACTTTCCATTGTTTTCCTTGTAAAACAGGAAAGCAACAGAATTTTTTATGGACCCCGGAGGGAGCAGAATAGAATAACACATAGAGTTACTATCATAATGCTGAAAATCAAAGGAGAGACTTAGGAAATCCTGTGATGGCTGGCGCATTTTTAGTTGTTGCAGAAGTATGCAAATGTCTTGAAATTCTCACAATCTATGTGAGCTAATCTTTAAACTCACTTCTTTCCTCACCTCCTTCTGCTCTTTTTGCTCACTAAACACAGTTTCGAAGGCCTCCTCAAGATCTGTGATGCCTGCCATTTACTTGAGTCCAGGGTCTTTCCACTTGCTACTGCCTGCATCCAGGAGGCTGCTCCCCTCAGCACCTCACATTCCCTTCAAGTCTCCATCACCTTCTCAGGGTCAGCTTGTCTCAAAGCTAGAACTCATGTAGCCAGTTGTCCCTCACCATATACATTCTCTAGATATATGTTTGAGTTTAGTCTTTGTTTCATAAATTCTATTTCTACCCATGGATTTGGAAACCCAATGGAATAGGCACATGGCCATTAAGTGCCCAGCACAGCCATTTCTCAATCAGATGATGTTGTAGGTTCGACCCCACCGGACTGTTTGTTACAAATAAATGAGGTAATGCATGGGCATTCTTAGCATGGGGCCAGGTGCATATTAAGTGTCAAATATATTGCAGTATTGCCTATAAGCCTTGGTGCTTGTTAAATGGACCCCAAACTATATCACATCGCTTTGTATCCAGGCAACACACAGTGTGAAGTCAAAGCACATTGTTTTTGCCTTCAGATTATTTCCTGGCAAACTCTTCACATTGGTTCATTTATTTTCATCAAAATGTAGTCATCACACCAGACACTGTACTGTGCTGGCTCCAAGATCCTTATGCTATCATGGGAGAGCAGAGGAGATCTCTAGACAGGGACTGATAACCACGGTGCATCCACACAAGGTAATACTCTGCTTCTGCTTGGAAGAGAAATTTCAGCTCTGTGATGATATGGAATTTATTTTGGTATACATTATTGGTGAAAATGTTGAGGTGTGGAATGCATGTGTATTACCATGCACATTCACCCAGACCCCTATATTGATATAAGAGAGTTCTGAAGGAATTGTCTCTTGAGTTGCAGCCAGAAATTGGGTTGGGAAATTACATATTTGAGTAGCAAGGAAGTGAGTGACATTTACTTGAATTTTTTTTTTTTGGTTTACTGAAAATGTATTACATCTCTCCTGTGGAACAGAACCAAAAAAATAACTAAGTCATATGTCCATTTTCTGACACAAAGAAGGGGGTTTGATGAATCTCAGATGTTTTTGTGATAAAATTGTACACTCTAGTTTGTATAAAAATTTCCTCTATGGGCCTCAGCTTCCTCAATTATAAAAATAGACAAAAAATATGGTAGTGGATATGTGATCATATAGATTGAGAAAATACCTTCACAGGAATCCATTTGATATACACAGAGGAAACGGTCCTTTTGTTCTTCTCAAACATTACTGTTGGTGACCCACAGCATATAATACAATTGTAGAAAATAATATTGTATTAAAGAAAGAAGAACATATTTTAAATTAAGAGACCTGACAGTTTTACTCTACTTTGCAAAACGCTTGAATTGGTGTGAAAGTATAAAAGGAAAGAAAAAAATCTAAATAGATCATCATTCTGCAAAGCTGAAAGGATAATCATTCTAGTTTCTTACTTAGTTTACCAAATTTCAATCCATTCTTTCACTTAATTTTATGAGAAGCCAATACTATTCTCTCAACTTGCAAATGGCCAGTTTTTTCCCTATAAGGTCACAGATGTAGTAAGAGCAGTAACTAGAATAACCAGGTTCAAATTTTTCTCGTGAACCTACAGCACCTCTCCCCCTTAATGGTCAGTTTCTAGCAGAAACACACTGGTTTCTCCAAACACTGTGCATATCCTTCCAACTTTTTATTTTTACTACTTTGCCTCTACACAAAACAGATGCCAACTGTGTTGTTTGCTTCTCTGCAGATGGAGAGGTCCCTGGAACTGGCCAACACGACCAGAGTCCAGCAGTTTGTCTTGCTGGGTTTGTCCACAAGGCCAGACATAAGGGACGCCCTGTTTGCCATCTTCCTGACTCTCTACCTGCTGACTCTCTTGGAGAATGCACTCATCATCTACCTCATCTGCAGCCACAGTGAGCTCCACAAGCCCATGTACTTTTTCCTGGGCAACCTCAGCTGCCTGGAGATGTGCTACGTGTCGGTGACCATGCCCAGCCTGCTGGTTGGACTGTGGACTGGACCCTACCAGGTGCCCTTCACAGCCTGCATGACTCAGCTCTTCTTCTTCATTGTCCTCATCTGCACAGAGTGCACCCTCCTGGCCTCCATGGCCTATGACCGCTATGTGGCCATCTGCCGCCCTCTGCACTACCCACTGCTCATGCGGCCCCAGGTCTGCCTGGGCTTATCCTTGTCCTCATGGCTTGGTGGGCTGGTGGTCTCAGTGGCCAAGACCACATGTATAGCCAGCCTGTCCTACTGTGGCCCCAATGTCCTCAACCAATTTTTCTGTGACGTCTCCCCTCTGCTCAACCTGTCCTGCACCCATGTGGCCCTCACAGAGCTGGTGGACTTCATCTCTGCCATCGTCATCTTCTGTGGAACTCTGCTAGTCTCCCTGGCCTCCTATGCAGCTATTGGGGCAACTGTGCTCCGCATGCCCTCAGCGGCTGCCCGGCGCAAGGCTTTCTCCACCTGTGCCTCCCACCTGGTGGTGGTGGGCATCTTCTACTCGGCAGCTCTCTTCATCTACTGCCGGCCCAGCCGCATCAAGTCCATGGACCTCAACAAGGTGCTGTCAGTCATCTACACGGTGGTCACACCCATGTGCAACCCTGTCATCTACTGCCTGCGTAACAAGGAGGTCCATGCAGTGCTGTGGAAGACCCTCAACCGTCCTTGACTCTGGTCTTTCAAACCTTGGACTCTCACTTTCTGATTCAAATCTTATATCACCCTCAGACACCTTAAATTACCTTCAAGGACAAGTGAGAAAATGTTTTGCTGCACAATATGCATTGAGCACATACTGAGCAGTAAGTAAATCCAAACTGCCAAAGAGAAAAACAAGGAAAAGTCTAGGAGAAAGCACAACACCCAAGACAAATTATAAGTATCTGCTAATCCCCATGAAGAGATGTTTAACCTAGCTTCCAAAGCAACAAATCTATGTTTAATATGAATATTTAATTTAATATGAATTTTAGTACTATACTTCTTATTCCTACAGGACTAATAAAACTTATCCAATGTATCTGCAAGTTCTCACAAATACAGATAGACACATGTGCAATAATATTCATTGTCTGTAATGAAAAAATCAGAAACAGCCTAAATGTTCACAAATATTGATGGTTTAGATGTATGATAGTATGTAAACTATGAGATAAATAATCTCTTCTTAAATAAAAATAAATGTACTTGTATGTTTTGACATGGAAATAAAGAAAAGGCAAATTAATTAAATTAAAATCAACAAACACATTACAAAATTTTTCACTTTATATTTTCTTGACTTTATCACTATATTGAGATATAGTTGGCAAATAAAGTTCCATATAGTCAGTGTATACTGTGATGATTTGAGGTGCATGTATATTGTGACATGCCTACCATTCAAGTAATTTCCACATACATCACCACACAAAGTTACTTTGTATGGTGATAAGGTCTACTATCACGTAAGATGTAAGGTATACAATACATTATTCATAACAGTAGACTTCATGCTCTACATGAGTTTTATACATTTTTTTACCTCCTAATTGCAAGCTCATGCTCTTTAACTAATATCTTCTCATTTTTCCTACACTCCAATCCCTTGCAGCCACTGCTCTACTCTCTGCTTCTAAGAATTTGATTCTTTTAGATGTCATATATAAGTGGGATTATGTATTTTTCCCCCTCTGGGTTATTTCACTAAGCATAATGTCCTCCAGTTTGATCCATGATGTCGCAAAATAGATGTGATCTTCTTTTGAGGTAGAATAACATTCCAGCAATATTCCAGTATTCACGGGTTCCTTACTCATTCTGCCAATTGACAGGTAATGAGGTTGTTTCCACTTTGGCTATTGTGAGTAGTGCTGCAATATCATGGGAAACCAGATATCTATTAAATATATTGGTTTAATTGTCTTGTATATACCCACTAGTGAGATTTCTGGTTTATATTTTCTGCTAGTTCTATTTTTAATTGTTGGAGGAGATATCCTGTTTTCCATAATGGTTGAAAAAATTTACATTCTCTCTAACAACACACAGTGGTTCTAATTTATTCACATCCTCACCAACATATTTTATCTTTTGCCTTTTGATATTTAGACATTTAATCCTTTTTGAGTTGATTCCCATGTATGATATGAGTCCAATTTCATTGTTTTATGGGTGGAAATCTAGTTTTCCCAAAACTATTTATTAAAGAGACTATCCTCCCTTCCCCATTGCGTCTTCTTGATGTTCTTGTCAAAAAGTAATTGATTGTTTATTTCTGGTCTCTCTTTGTTTTCCTTTGGTCAGTGGTCTGTTTTCACATAAATACCATGCTATTTTGATTAGTGTAACTGTGTAATATAATTTGAAGCCAGAAATATAACATTCAGCTTTGTTTTTCATTTTCTTTCTCCGTTTTGAAGCTAATTTATTTTTAGCTTTTAATGAACACATAATTGTACATGTTGATGGGGTACAGGGTTATATTTCAACACTTACATTCAGTGTGTACCGACCAAATCAGGGTAATGAGCATTTCCATTGTCTTACCTTTTGTTTATATTTTTCTTTCTCAAGATTGCTTTGGCTCTTCAAAGTCTTTTGTGGTTTCATACAACTTTTTAAATTACCTTTTCCGTATCTGTGAGAAATCTCATTAGAATCTGGATGGAGATTTCATTGAATATGCAGATGGCTTGGGATAGTGTGTGAATATTTTGATATTTTTAATCCTTCCAATCCATGAACATGCTATGTCTTTACATTTGTTTGTATCTTCTTAAGTTTCTTTCATTGATGTTGTATAGTTTTCAAATTATAGATATTGTTTAAATTTATTCCTGGCTCTGTCATGCAATGGATAGTGCATTGGACTTCTAAATTTATTCCCATATATTTTATTCTTTTTGGTGTTGTCATAAATGGGATTGTTAAAATTTCTTTTTTGGATAGAACATTACTGGCATAAAGAACTAGAACTTCTTTTTGAGTGTCAATTTTGTAACCTATTTCTTTCCTGAGTTCATTTTTAGTTCTATCAATGTTTTTGTTGGAGTCTTAAGGATTTTTTACATATAGGATCTTGTCATCTAAAAGCAGGGACAATTGTACTTATTCTCTTTTTTGAGATAATTTTTCATAGTAATGTGATATGAATACAAAGAGAACAGATTCAATGTAGTTAATGGATACATCTAAAAATATAAAAATACTTACTTCCTCCCCTCCTCCCTCCCTCCCTCCCTTTCTTCCTTTTTTTCTTTCTTTTTGTGATAACATATTTTTAATTTACATTGTAGTCAAGGGCTTAATGCTCTGCTAAACAAAGAGTTCAACAAATAAAAAGTAAAAAAGCCCTAATTCAGCGAGAATATAGGCAAGAGCTATAGATAATAATCAAATGAAAATATAACAATTTTTCCCATATACAATAAATTTTAAAATAATGACAGGGCCGGTGCTGTGGTACAGTGTGTTAAAGCCCTGGCCTGCAGTGCTGGCATCCCATATGGACACTGGTTCAAGTCCTGGCTGCTTTCCCTCCGATCCAGCTCTCTGCTATGGCCTGGGAAAGCAGTAGAGGATGGCCCAAGTCCTTGGGCCCCGCACCTATGTGGGATACCCAGAAGAAGCTCCTGGCTCCTGGCTTCGAATCAGCTCAGCTCTGGCCATTGCAATCATTTGGGGAGTGAACCAATGGGCGGAAGACCTCTCTCTCTGAACTACCTCTCTCTGTAACTCTGTCTTTCAAATATATAAAATAAATCTTAAAAAAAAGTAATAACAGATAATTAAAACCATAGTAGTATAACATTTTTACCATTGGTTTGTCAAAGATACAAAACAAAGTTTGATAAAACTCTATGTCTTTCACTTCCTTTTCATGTCTGAATGCTCTTGCTAGTATTTCCAGTACTGTTTAACAGAAATCGTTGGAGTGGACATCCTTGCACTGTGCCAGACTTGAGAGGAAAAGCAGTTTTCCTCCACTGATTACACTACCACCTGTTATATTTCAATAAATGACCATTCTTCTGCTAAGGAACTTTTCTTCTATACCTGTTTTTTTCCTGAGTCTTATAAGTAAATGTTAATGAGTTTTGTCCGATGCTTCTGCTATATCTGCTGAGATGCTCATGTGTTTCATCCTGTTAGTGTGGTGTATCACACTGATCTGCATTTGTTAAACCAAGTTTGCATCTGAAGCATAAATCCACATGGTCATGGGATATATTCTTTTTGGGTTGGTGAATAAATTTGACTTTGTTAGTATTTTATTGAGGATTTTTTACATCTATTCTCATTAGGGACATCAGCCTGTAGGTTTCTTTACTTGTCTTATCTTTGATTTGGGCATTCAAGTGATGCTGTCTCCGTAAAAAGTTTGGAATTACTCCTACTTCCATTTTTTTTCTGGATGACTTGAAAAAGGATTGATACTAATCCATTGAACATTTGAGAATTCAGTCATGAAGCCATTTCTGCCTAGGCTTTTCTTTGGATATTTTAAATTGCTGTTTGAATTCTTTTGCTTGTTTCAGTCATTTCTTTCAGGCTAATTTTCAGTAGGTGGTTTGTGTCCAGTAATTTAATTAATTTCCTTTTTATAATCAAGCTTTTAGCATGTGGTTGCTCATAATGGTCTGTAATGATCCTTTTTATTTCTGGTATGTTCATTGTAATGTCTTGGACTTGTTGTAGCATGCAAGAGAGTGTCCCTTTATTAAAAGATGGTCACAGAGGCTGGCGCTGTGGCATAGCAGGTAAAGCTGCCACCTGCAGTGCCAGCATCCCATATGGGTGCCGGATCGAGTCCTGGCTGTTCCACTTCCAATCCAACTCTCTGCTGTAGCCTGAAAAAGCAGTGGAAGATGACCCAAGTGCTTGGGCCCCTGCACCCATGTGGGAGACCTGGAAGAAGCTCCTGGCTCCTGGTTTCGGATAGGCGCAGCTCCAGCCATTGCAGCCAATTGGGGAGTGAACCAGCTGATGGAAGATCTCTCTCTCTCTCTCTCTCTCTGTCTCTCTCTGCACCTCCTTCTCTCTTGCTGTAACTCTGACTTTCAAATAAAAATAAATAAATTTTAAAAAAAAAGATGGTCACAGAAACCAAGACCTGGGCATTGTCTCTATTCATTGCTCCTAAGATGTCAGTGTTTCTAGATCACTCAGGAGACAGACATAGGAAATACAAGAATACTTCAAAAAGTTCATGGAAAATAAAATTGAAAGATTACTTTGGTGTAAATGTTTTGAAATCTGTGCAGTCTTTTCATAATGCAGTTTTTGTGAACCTTTTGAAGATCGTTAATGTGCAGAAATTTCAGAAATTTTAGCACCAAAAAGTGTGCACATGTGAATATAAAAAACAGATTTGTTTACATGATTATACATACATTATATACATGCATGCCTGAAGTACACTCTCATGCATATGCATATATAGAAACTCAAACATGAACACATATTTCTCATTACCAGTTCCATTTCAATACCACAGGGTATAATATAATCTTCTCTCTTTCCTTTTTTTTATTTATTTATTTATTTTTTTATTTTTTTTATTTATTTATTTATTTATTTTTTTGACAGGCAGAGTGGACAGTGAGAGAGAGAGACAGAGAGAAAGGTCTTCCTTGGCCGTTGGTTCACCCTCCAATGGCCGCCGCGGCCGGCGCGCTGCGGCCGGCGCACCGCGCCAATCCGGTGGCAGGAGCCAGGAGCCAGGTGCTTTTCCTGGTCTCCCATGGGGTGCAGGGCCCAAGCACCTGGGCCATCCTCCACTGCACTCCCTGGCCACAGCAGAGGGCTGGCCTGGAAGGGGGGCAACCGGGACAGAATCCGGAGCCCCGACCGGGACTAGAACCCGGTGTGCCGGCGCCGCTAGGCGGAGGATTAGCCTAGTGAGCCGCGGCGCCGGCCTATTTATTTATTTTTGACAAGCAGAGTGGACAGTGAGAGAGAGAGACAGAGAGAAAGGTCTTCCTTTGCCGTTGGTTCACCCTCCAATGGCCACTACAGCTGGCGTGCTGCGGCCAGTGCACCACGCTGATCCGAAGCCAGGAGCCAGGTGCTTCTTCTGGTCTCCCATGCGGGTACAGGGCCCAAGGATCTGGGCCATCCTCCACTGCACTCCCGGGCCACAGCAGAGAGCAGGACTGGAAGAGGGGCAACCGGGACAGAATCCGGTGCCCCAACTGGGACTAGAACCCCGTGTGCGGGCGCCGCAGGTGGAGGATTAGCCTATTGAGCCATGGTGCTGGCCTTCTCTCTTTCCTATGCTGTAACTCCTCTCACTTTATCTTTGAGAAACCTGATCACCATTATTTTTAATATTTAATCATTTTCTCAGGTTTAGAACTTACACAAACTCATTGAGAAATTTCTAACTCACACCATTTGGAAAAACAAACCTAATAACTAGAGTTCAATATGTGTTTTCAGCTCTTTTTCTGTAAAGTTTGCACACAGCAAAATGTACTAATCAAAATTATATAATTGAATAAGTTTTGAAAAAGGTATGCACATATATACATGTAATACATAGGACATTTATTTCATTTAGGAAACACATAAATGCACAAAGACTGTTCTTGCCTCCTTTTCTAAGTTATCATATAAATGGAGCCCCAAATATGTACTCTCCTGTAAACTTTTCATCACCATGTACCTGTGAGATTTATCCATATTGCAGTCTGTATCATTGGTTTATTTTATCGCTAAAATGTCAACTTTAGGTTTACAGTTGTCCGGTATTAAGTACATTCAAATTGTTGTCAACAATCACTACCATCCATCTCCAAAACTTTTATCTTCTTTCAAAACTGAAACTCTGTCCATTAAATAATAACTCCCCATTTCCTATGGTTCCCAGCCACTGGCAAATACCCTGGTGCTTTCTCTGTGAATCTTAATGCTTCAAGAACCTCATATGAGTGGAATGATACAGTACTAGCTTTTGGTGATAGTTTAATTTCATTTAACATGATGCCCTCACTGTTCATCCATTTTGTAGCATATGTCAGCATATTAAGGCTGAAAATTATCCTACTATATGTGTATAGTAGAATGGTTTTGTTTTTCTAGTCCTCCATTGATGGGCACGTGGGTAGTTTATAAATTTGGCTATTGTGAATAATGCTATCATGAACAAGAGGTACAAATATCTGTTTGTGTTTCTCTTCTAAATAAGAAGCACTTTATGAGCCTTTAGCTTCTACCAGAAGATTCTCTGTTGTGGTCTTCAGTTCTATCAGAGCTCTATCAGTGTTTTTCAAAATGAATTAAAACTTGGTGTATAGTTCCATGTTGCTGTTCTCCCCTACACCTAAGATGGATCAGCTGAATGCTAGAGCTGTTTTGAGCTAATATTAGTACTCCAGGATCAAAGCCCAGGGACTCATGTTGTGGAAGAAATTAGCCAATACATGCTGACTTGAACTTGGGATGGTTTAGAGGCAAATTCTACTTTGCTACCATTCCCCTTAAGGCTCTGAAGAGCATGGAAAAAAAAAAAAAGCTTTCTTTTCCACTCCTTATGTAACTCCACAGAGACAGAATAGGTCTCTGAAACCCAGAGCTCCTGTTTAACCTCACCTCCCTGTCAGTTTCTCACAGTGTGGACAGCCAACTCAGCAACTCAGTGGATTCAGAACCACAGAGAATCAAGGGTGGAGCACGCTTCTTTCAGGACCACGGACAGCTCCTTCTACAGTGTACTGAAAAGCTGTTCTTCCATTCTGGGCAGAAGCTGAATCCACCCGGGCATCAGAGTCTCCTCCAGGTGCAGCACCTGCCAGGAGGGCTCTGTCCCCATTGTCCTTCCACCATCAGGTGAGGAGAACAAAGGCTATTCTTTGGGGTTGAAGACAAGGAGCAACAGAAAGAACACCCAAGGTAAACCAGATACTGACTTTAAATACGTACACACATTAACTAATTTCATACTCAAAACACCTGATGAGGAAATATCAGCATTATTGCATGTCTGGTTTATGTATTAATCACAATGCATGGCTAATTCAAGTGGCTTCTAGAGGCTCGTGCAACCAGAAAGGGAACGATATTTTGCTTATCATGCCTATCTGACGACTGACTACAAAATTTTTCCTATTAATTCTATTTTCTATAATACAAAGTGTTCTCACATGTATAGCTACTATTACATGGACTATATTAATCCTAAGGGAATAACCATCAATCCTTCATACAGTATGCAAAGAAGTACCAAACAGACTAAACAAATTTCCTAGAGTACTGGTGCTTCAAAGTTTTCAAAATTCTTTGAGGCCAAACCCCAGATTTTTTCATGTTTGTGTATATGAAGCTCCTAGCATTCTAATTTTCTTTGTGTACAAATACATTTCTTGATAAGTGTTTGTGGAACAGACAACAGGATTAAAATCCAGTCGCATATAAATCCTAAACTGATGCTTTAACCTCCACATTGTATTCTGTCTGCTTCTTCAGGAGAAAAAAATACATACTCAAAGTAGGAATGATTCTTAGTGTTGTTCTTTCTACTTTTTATTAACAATAATTGTACATATTTAAAGGATGTAATATGTCATTTCAATATCTGCATAAAATGCATACTGATTAAATCAGCGTGAACAACACTTCTCATTTAACATTACCTTTTATTAGAGTCTTAGAGCTCCTTTCTTCTTTTTTTTGTTTTGTTTTGTTTTGACAGGCAGAGCTCCTTTCTTCTATTTCCTCACAAAATATCTAGATTGTTGTGAACTACAACCACCCCCACTGCACTGTGTAACACTAGGAATATTCTCTAACTCTGATTTGACCCTTATAATCTAAATGCTCTTTATCCCCCTACCCCTTCCAGCCTCCAGTAATCACCATTCTGTGTGCAAATTGAGTTCTGTTAATTTGCATATATGCATGAGAATGTGAAGTATTTGTCTTTCTGTGTCTGGGATATTTGTTTAACATGATGTCCTTCAGTTCCATACATTTCTCTGTGAATAATAGGCTTTTGTTCTTTTTATGTCTGAACAGTCCATTGTGAATATATATAACACATATTCTTTATCCATTCATCTGATGATGGGTACCCTGGTTGATTCCATAGCATGGCTATTGTGAACAGTACCTAAATAAACGTGGTGGGATAGCTATCTGTTTCATATAATGATATAATATCTTTGGATAGACACCCATAGTGTGATTATTGGATCATATGGCAGTTCTATTTCTAGTTTGTAAGAAATCTCCACACTGTGCTATCTCACATCTCAATTACCTCTCCTTTGTCTACATTGTCATTGGATTGTGTTACTTTCTGTCTTTTTTGATAATAGGAATTATAACCAGGTAAGGTGATATCTCATTGTGGTTTTGATTCATATTTCCCTAAAGGCTAATGATACCGATCATTTTTCATATGTTTGTTGTCTGTATTTCTTTAGAGAACTGCCTATACAAGTCCATTGAATAATATAAAACTCAGACATGAAGAGGTTAAGTAGCCTACTCAAGGAACAGAACTAGAAAATACCACAATGTAAAATCCTCTGAGTAATAATCAGGTCTTATTTACCACTTTGTCTCCAGTCTAGCTAGTGGAACTATTGACAGGT